TCCGGCGTCCATTCAAGTGTTCTTCAGCAGTCCTTGTGCGGCGTTGTCATCTACTATTAGGGAGCATGAAGCGTTGGGTCTACACGTCATAGGCATGCAGCCGCCTTCATGTAATGACGTCTCCCTCCCCGGGTTGATATTGAATTTTCTGGTTTGAACAGGGTGTGACATGGAAGCGACTGCTCTGCGCGATGTGGTCTCCGGATCGAACGAGGGAACAGGACCATCGCCAGTCAAGCCAAGAGACGTCTTCATGGTGAGCTTACATATACCCTCCTTTTTTTGCGTTAGTCGTATCTACTGCTTCTGTTCCTCGTCTGGCGTTTCAAGAGGTTGTAGAGGAAGACGATTTGTCAACTTTTCCTCTTCAATCTTTTCCAAGCGCTTTCTTCTCCTTCTGGGAGAGATAAAAGTACTCCTGTAGTCAGCCCATGTGTGTCATGTAATTACTTCCCCTCCCTTTGTTGTATGCTCTCTCTCTCTCGTAGGGAGTGGATTCACCCGCAGAGGATAGCGACGACCGCGCGCATGGCGGTGACTCCCCAACGCCTATCCAACGTACCTAGCGTCATTTTAGTTTTGCTTTACACACTAAGGGTTATGACCCTTTTCAACGCCTGCTGTGGCCCTCGTTGTTTGTCCCTTCATAAAACAAAAAGATGAATTCTTGTCCCTGCTCGGTACCTCACAGCATCTCTGCCGTGGTCTCGCCGCCGCGGACGTCGTGCATGGCGACAGACTTGGTCAATATATCGAGGAGAAAAATGAGGGACACATTAAAAACGAGGGACACATTCTTCAGAGCACGATACAGCAGATAACCAGGTCTTCGAGTTCATGCGACCGCCCACTGGCTGTTCGTTCTTATTCTAGGTTTCTCGGAGGATTTGGACGATGACGACATGGTCGGAGAAGACTCGGAAGATGAGTTGGAACAGGATTTGGAGATTATTTCCCCCGTGGCTGCTATGCTGAACGAGCACTCTGGCCAGGTGAGACCAAATATCTAGGTGTGGTAGGTATGCGGATCGGCATGCAAGGTAGGGTTACGCATTGTGTCGTGGCAAGCGGGTTCGAAAACATCGTCTTTTATCTACCAATAGATGATCCGGACATGTACTAGTTCAGAGATCCGCCTGGCGCCGTCCGCTAGCTGCCTGCGAATGCCCATAGACTCTGGACAGCAACGTCACCAATGTGTCGCTTCGATCTGCGAAGATACGCACTTGCTCGTACTCTCTCGTGCTTGTTTTCCTCAAAACCCTCCATGTCCGATTTTCAGGAAGCCGCTGTTGAAGTGCGGGACGACGCCGTGGAAAACCTACGACCGAGTCCTCGTGATGTAGCGGTAGTGAAAAAAAGCGTAACCGCCGAGCTAGACCATTTCCCTTGGCTGCAAAGTATTTGGGGTATATGGTCATCGACCTCCCCCCTACAAGAGAGATGATTATGACCTCCTGGACATACCTTGTAGAGCTTCTAGCCGCCGGCAGAGCACGCAAGCCTACGACAAGGACAGCGTCCACTTTCACCTTGTCACGCTTCCAGACATGGCCCGACCGGCTAAGAACGTGGATCAACCATGAAAGCGTTCAGGAAGTCGCGCGCACACGGCAGGGCGACCAGGGCAGGCACTATCTGTGCTGCATCATCAACGTAGTGGATGAGGTACGCACGCAAGGCGGCACTCACCGAGTACAACTCGCATGACCGCGGTGTTTCGTCTGCAGTGTTGGGGAAAAGGAGTAAAAACAATTACAGCAGGGTTTGATGACGGGGCGGGTTATATAAAGTTACGTCAACTATCTTAGAAGCTCGTAGTCCTCCTTAGTTCGCTCTAGTTAGCCTTCCTTCGGCATCCCAATTTATACTTTTTTTTTTCTCGTTCAAATAATATTCTTAATCCGTATCCCCTCTGTGCACGCCAGGGGCTATACCGCGTGTTCGTGAAAGAGAGGGAGAAATCGAACACGGTGGCTCTCACCTATCCTACGGAAATCCACAAGATCTCAACGGCGCGTGGGAAGGTCCTGTATTACATTGCGGGGTGGTTGCTAAGCAAGGCGTGGTCGCGTAAGAGAAGGCACAAGATACCCGACCAGGAGTGGGACTTCATAGTGCAGCACAATCATTCCCCCTCTAGTGCGGGCGCCATTGAGAGAGATCCGATCCTCCAAGATATGGTTGGGGGGGTCGATGCGAGGAATGATCCCGTTAACGGTGCGGGGCTCCTCTTTCCTACACTGGCGTGGTACGAATTCGTATTCCACGTCGAGAACGGGATATACCATTTCCTCCGCGACCCTTACTTTCTAGGTACTTATCTCGGGGACTTATCGGCTGAGATCTTGAGGGTAGTCACCGAGTCATCAGAGGTACGGAAGGCATGGGCTAAATGCTGCCCTTCCGCCGTTGCCCCCCCCCGGTCGAAGCGCAACCTGAGATTCTCGACGACATATACAAATTTGTCTTGCAGAAGTTTCACAACGTCCGTATGGGGGATTTCGCACGCCGATTGAGTCAGAATTCCACGCTCAGGCTGTCGAAGGGCGAATTGGCCCTGCGACAAAATCTGAGAGCCACCAGCGCGAAGGGGGAGGCCACAGCGAAGGGGGTGGCTCCAGTTGGTGGAGGGATTGATGGAACGAGCCAGTTGGCGGGTAGTGTCGTGGCAGGTTCGGGGACTGTGACGAATGAGGGTCTAGCTGTTGAGACGGTGAGAAAGATGACCAAGCCACAGTTGTTTGAACTGACCAAGGGCACATTAGTGGACCTCATTAAAGCTGGGGGTGGCGACGCCAAGGTGTGGAGGAAGAAGGAATTTTTAGTCAACGCTTTGCTTAGCGTTGTCGGCGGCTCTAGCGAAGACGGCGAAGGAGGGCGGGTAGATCATGGGTCGGAAAATGGGCCAGTCGATGTGGCGCGGGACGGCGGTGATGGCGAAATATCGAACGTCCGGGTTAACCAGGTCTCGTCGACGGGCGGCGAAGGTCTTGAATGGATCGATGCTTTACCGTTAGAGGACGCCGACATGTCGAACCTGCTGCAAGAATTGGCTCTGGGGGGTGGGGAAACTGACGCATCTCTCGGAGACTTCGACGAAGATTTTTTGGGGCGGTCTATCGATTTTGAGGAGGTATTTCCGTCGTCGCCGAAAACGAACCTGGCGGGTGTCCATGGTCCAACTTAGAAAGAGTTATCCTTTGACCATAGCTGATGTTGCGGGCGATACGGCAGTCTATGGGGTGGGTGAAACCAAGGGATGAGGGTCAGAGTTTACAGCCCTTGCAGGTCTCGAGAATTGGACTGCCTGTATCTGTGGGTTTGGTGTATCTGTTGAATCAATCGAATAATCGAATGGACTGCATCGTGTGCTGTTGGTCATCCCTGGTGTCCTGTTGTTGATGTATACTCCCTCTGCTCCCCAATATAAGGCCGGTTCAAGAATTCATGAATATAAGGCTGGTTCGTAGTTTAGGCGGTTGGGTGTTCCTTATCGAGGGATTTTTTTTGCATGATGCTCGGACAGGATAGGCGCTTCGTTAGGAAAAAAAAAACGGGACATTATTGTATCATCCCTACCCGTGAGAAATTAACTCCGGCGATGGTCGCAAGCGGAAATTGTAGGTAAGGATCTCTTTTTGTGTTTGTTTCTCCCGTACGGCCAACAAAAAAGAGTCGACCACCGTTTTCAATTGCTGAACCTTTGCCTTTGTTTTTGACCGGGAGAAAATGTCAGGGTGGCGATAATGAGACACTTGGAAGAACAGGAACGATGAGAAGAAATATTCATATTTTTTCGAGAAAAAAAAAATGTTTCTTACGAAAAAAAAAAGGGTCTTCTGACCGGGAATCGAACTCATGACCTCTTGCTTACAGGTTTGTCCGAACCGGCCTTTTGTTGGGGAGCAGAGGGAGTACGAGTTGTTCGATGTCATGTTGCGCATACTTGTCGTTTGTAACCGTCGTTCAAACATATAATGTTACTCCCCTGACGCCTTTTCGGAGAGCTCTTGAAGAGACTGGTGAACGCCTCGATTTTCGGCACGGCTGATGTCTCAGCTGGCGAGTAGTTTCGGAGGTTTTCACACATCTCAGGGGGAAGGGGAGGGGGGGGGGGGGGGGTTTCTTGTTGCACGTACGGGGTGTTGCAAAATCATGTTTCTCAGCATTGATATGTTGTAAGGTGTAATAAGTCCTGCATCGTCGCGGACGAGTGTGGTGCTTATCCTCTCGCGAAATGTTTGGGTTAATAATCATGGATTCTGAGCATTGGACGGTTTATTTCCAGGTGTCCATTGGAGACAGCCACGATAATTTGTTTTCGGCATATATATACGTTTTACAGCACCCCCCTACACCCCCCCCCCCGCCCGAAGAAAAAACAATAGATATGGCCGGTTTGTGTGGGTAGGTGTGGGACGACATGTTCTACATCCAGGCGATCCCTTCATCTGAGGAACGTGACCAGGCCTCTGATACACCCATCACTTCATGCGACGCTTGAACAAAGTATGCCTATCGTAGTAGGTCTATATCTGTAGTCTCGCGCGCTGGAATGCACAACAAAAAATAAAGAGGGAACCAAATACTTCCTTAAACTGCTGGGTAGTCTTGCTCGCTAGAAGCGACCCAAGGCACCCACGGTTACGGCCGCACCAACCCCGCTTCTACCGTGCACCACAAAATCGAAAAATAAACGAGTGAAGGTTACGTGTCTGCAACTCGATACCGGCTCATTATCCTCGTCCTTCATTCGTGTCTCCACACTCGATACCTCCATCGCTCATCACTACAAAACGACACAATCACACCGGAGTCCGATTGCCTCTCCCCACAACTGCTCTGTCATGAGCATGTGTCTCCCTCCCAATCCCATGCCGTGAACTTGTCACTACCATCTCGGAATGACGTGGGGACGTCCTAACACAACATTATAAAGGCTTCCACATAGCCCTTATCCCACGTCCCCCAAGAGCCTCTATTTGGGCGGCATACTTCTACTTCGACGACGCGTATGGGTTGACTATCGTCGACGAGCCCTGGGCGGCCGGGACGGAGGTCTCTACCACGGGGGTCGCCGCAAGGGGTTCGACGGAAATGTAACGCGGGCACAAAACGGCGTTCGGCGAATTCCTCGATCGCGAGCGCACGTTCTCGGCGGCCACCGCCTGTGTTACTGCCAACATGATTCTGCCCCTGTAATCGGAGACGTTGAAGTCATCCCCGGACCGCGCGTTGCGGTTGAAGTTCGCCCGGGAACCTCCGTGTAGACCTCGGTTGAGGTCGCCACGTACAGACCTCTCTTTCGCCTGCGCCGCCGTGGGGTTCCTCAACGTCCCCAAGCCCGCACGGATGTGTGCGCAAACCAGTGTTCGAGAATGTCCTGTGGCGGTATGGGCGGAGGGGGTGGCGGTGGGCGGTGGGGGTGCAGACGGCATCTATTAGTTGCTTGATGTACGCATCTCCTGTGTGCTAAGGATTACATGGGCGCCTTCCGCTATCAAACGTTCCAGGCTCTGTCACACGGAGGAATCGGATCAAAACTAAAACGCCGTGGTTCGCTGTCAAACGTTCGAAATCGGCGCCAAAAAAATCGGCTCACAACAAAAAAAAACATCATCACCTGCTCCTCGAATATTTGTTTGTTTGGTCGCCCCGTCAACAGACCCCGCCAGGACGAAGTAGGGGGGGGCGTAGGGCCCCTAAGGAAGGTATCCGGACCCCCCCCCCTACAAATTCGTTGCTAGGTCGGCAACGGAAGGCGCCTATTGAGTTGTGCTACCTACGTTTCGTTACTAGCCTAACTTGGCTGAACGTGCGCGGGTTGATGAACCGGTTGGCATTGGAGGAGAGATCGTCGACGCCGAAGCCCTCGGGGTGCTCGAAGAAGTAGCGGCAGGTAGCCACGAGCCCGAGGATGGTCAGGCGCAAGTCGAACCAAGACTCACGCGTGATGAAATGCTTCTTCCATCCCACGTCTCCGCCGCCGGTCGGGGGAGGGAACTCCTGCAGCATGTCGTTCCAATCGTCGAAGTACCTCAGAATCTCCATGAGCCTCTCGAGGATGGGGTCCTCAGCCGAAGTCACGTATCCCTTCATCTTGTTGATTTTCGCGCGACGCTCGAACTTCGTGCGACCGTAGTCTCCTGTGTGCACGGCGAAATGAGCGGACGGTGTAAACGGAACATATAAATAGATGGCCAACACTTCAAACCTGCACCTGACGAGCCTTCCCGATACGAGATATCGGTCTATTTTAGCGTCGTCCGTGGATACCGACACAGGGGGAGACAGAGATCGATCATGATACCGACTGCGCCCATGCGGCCAGACCCAAGACCCCACGACCGGATGGTATACTCTCAATATTGCACACATGCCGTCGTTTTCGTGCCGAACCGCGTGTGGTTTCCTCACCGTTGAAGATATCTACGAAGTCGTTGAGGTGGACAGCCAGGCCCTCATAGCATCCCAGTGCAAGGTCCGGGGATTCGCCCCTCGTCTCCTGGTTGGCCCGAACTTCGCGGATAGCTCGGACGATGGTCCCCGACACCACCTGACGAACAACAGCAAAATAAGAGAATAAGTCGGGATTGTACGTTAGGTCTTCGTGATGGTGGAAAACTTGCTGCCAAGCATGAACGTAATCATCCGGAAAAATAAATCCCATAGCCTGAACTTCCTTTTGCATCAAGAGGCTTAACGTTCGTGCTCCGAAGATTCCGCAACTTTGAACTCAACCTTTCATCACCTTCGCAGAAAGCTTGACGTTCATGCAGGTGAAATTAGTCCTGTTGAACGCGCCCACTGGCATGCCTGGGAAGATGGTCAAGGTGGCAGCTCGTTCCTCGGGAGTCATGCTGTCGTTGTCGTACTCGACGTCGTTGTACACTCGTTGCGCGGTCTTCAGGGAAAACTGAGAAAACTTCAACTCGTCCTGGTCGGTGACGCACCACATCCCCAGCTGGCGCTGCTTGGCGGGGATGTCGCTGTGCCAAAGGGCGTTGACGATCTTCTTGAGAATGTGCATGGGGTCGCTCATGTTGAATACCTCGTGAAGATGAACGGGGTGCAGGAACCCGACCTTGAAGCCAGCGAACGAGCCCTCCTTCGGCCCCTTGATCCAATGACAGAACCCTAAAATTGCCGCGTGTGTCTGAAAAGAACGGCTGCCGAGAGGCGTTCGCGAGGGCGCAATCGAGGGGAAAAGGGCATATCGTCAAGTACGGCTCCACACACGGTCTTTCCGAGGTCATTCACTCGGACATCAACAAAGTGACCTCTCCGAGCCTACACACTCCACTCAACCCTTTCGATATCGACGCAATATGTGGGACAACCCGCAGTCACTAGATAGCAACGTCGACAAAAAAAAAAAAAAACACTCACTGCTCAGGTGCACCATCGCATTCGGTGGCTATGACGTCGAAGGCCTTGTCCGGGTGGGCCATCGCAAGATAACGCATGGCCCGGATCAACATGCGTTGGATGTAGTCCGTGCTGAGAGAGCGGACAGCCTCGCGCCACACGACGAACTTGTACTCCGGCTTGCCGATGCTCACGAAGAACATCTGTGTTTTTCGAATAGAGTGGGCAGGGATGAACGACCACGTGAGCGTGTCTCAGTGTTTGGGGGTGTGCGACTGCCTCGTCAAGAACGATGAAGGCAAAAATCGCGAAGGCAGATCCGTCGCGCGTCACCGGATCGGGCAACGATACGAAGCCAAACTCAGTCTGTGAACTCGACACCCGGTACGAATTCGACACAGCACGATTACACTAAACCCGACCGAGAGGTATCTGGTTCCCTACCTCGACGTATTGCGTGGCGACAATCTTTTCCAGAATTGGCTCTACTTCCTTTACAACCCCCCCCTCGTGCTTGTAGATGGGGTTGAAGAACGTCGTCTCGTCCACGAGGCCCGTGAACCCCCCCCCATTGGGTGCGAAACTAAAACCGTTCTTGTTGAGGTGCATGAGGTCCCACGTCAAGACCCCCATCAGGTCGACCTTGTCAGCGTCTTGCGTGGCCGCGAGCTTCCCGTATTTCTGGACACAACGGGAGTAAGGGGTAGAGTTAGAAAACAATTGCATCTAACCCACAATCCTCGGAGGCGAATGCAGTGCCGACAAAAGGAATAACGAAACAAAAATGATCAACCTATGCATACAACACATCGAGCCGAGGCCATTTCCACTCTTCTTTTGAACAACATAAGTCGAACTCAGCGTAAGTCTTACCAGGATGTTCTCGGTCAGCACACCCGTCCTAGGAGGGGCGGCGTTCCGTCGCAGCTGCTTGATGCGTTCAGGGCTAGGCAGGTGCAGGACATTCCTCAGCATGTTGTACGCCGCAGTCCCCGCAATCCCTTGGATGTAGATGGCAAGTCTCATCGTAGCCGGGTGGAATCGAAACCCCTTCGCTTTGCCGTGACTCGTGTTCCACTTCACCTGATCCTGTGAGCACGGAGAGTGGGAGCGTTTTGTTGCATAGCTATTCTAAGGCAAACATGAGTACTCACAGACATGAGCCCCCCTAAATCAAACTTTTGTTTTTTTCCGCAACCATTCGTACGTTTCACTGCACCACCCGCCACGAGGTGGGCGGTGTTTCGCCTTGCCTACACGACGTAGGTATCCCCATCATTTCTAACCCACCTCGTAGATAGCAATTCTCGACCTCCAGATAAACCGGCCAGTCTGTCTGAAAGAACAACTTCGATCAGCAACGCACCCTGGAAACTTCGGCGAGACGACTCCAATACCACTTGAAATCCCAAACAAAACAGCCCACCTCATAGAAATACCTCTGGTCGCTTCCCTGAGGGAGTCTCGAGTGTATCACCTCCTTCGTCTCGGCGTCGACAAGGAACTTATGAAGAGCTTCCCCTTGTTCCACAGGAACGCGAACGCACTCCTTCCTCATAGAAACGATCCGTTCACGCAGCCGGGCCGTGGTAGTTCGCTCTCTATTCAGGTCAGCTGCCGTGGACCAGAGCTTGCTTGTGATCCTGCGTTTCGGGTTAAATCGCGCAAATTGCTCGACGTTGCTGCATCGCGAAATTCAGAAGAAGATAATGGTTGGCGACTGGCGTGCAAAAAAAACAAACCTGACACACCTAGGTACCCGTTGTGGCGCTGAAACGATCGTCACATCCACCTTTTGTGCTCTGGTCATGTAGATGTTCTTGCTCGACTTGAGGGACTCGGCCTTCGATGCATTCTGTAGCCGCGGTCGCAACGCCTCCCTCACGAAACCTCTACACCCCTGACACCGGGGCACCGAGTTTAGGCCTTGGAATGGAGTGGCAACTCCAACACATCCTTTCGCCCAAAACACCTTGTGACCTCCAACCCCGCCGTGACCCGGGACACTGTGACCCCCGACGGTGCCCAACACCCCGGAAACCCCAGAGGGGCCAGACAACAGGCCCTCGACAAAAGCGTTCTGCCATCTCCCCCGCTCTCCAAACGGCAAAGTCGGATTACTCTCGAGGTTCCGTTGCGCCTGGCGGACTAGACTCGGGAAAACGTCGGCGGCCCCTGCTGGCATCTTGGCGTCCTCCCGGACATGCTGCTGAGAGACGCCTTGGCAAGGAAGCGTGTACCACACCACGTTGAGAAGCTGCAAACGTAAACGAAGAAAACGAAGGGAATACAACACACATCATCATCGGGGCCGGTAAATATTGTGACCTACAATAACCCCCGCACGTTATAGAGGCACTTTTTCTAATTTTTATAAAGCTAGAGCAGAAAAGTCCAGGTACACAATGGAGTGTTTGAGCGATTGAGACTATATTTGACGTCGGCGACACAGCACGGCCTTCGCGAAACCAGACATACCAAGTCAAGTGAAACCCGTATTTCCCGACGTGCTCACCGTCCAGACTTCTCCACATGCCCTCTGAACATGAGTTGGAGCGGGTGGACGGTGGTGCTGTTTCAAGCGCTACACCAACCCTACATGATACTCACCTCCGTCAAATCATCTTCCGCGCCGATTGCCGTAAACCTGCGGAGGGCGTCGTGGTTCCGAACGCAGTGCCCGTTGATGGAAGTAATCGGTCCAACCCCTTTCAGCTTCGTGGGTCCAAGGCATACCTGGTCCAAGTTTCAGAAAAGAACAAATTAGAGATTGTGTGTGGTCAGTTTCACACAAACGGATGCACTGGTGATGTCCAGGTTGCCCGACTACTTAAATGAACCGTTAATAGCAAACAGGTTTTTGTTGCGATAGCTCAACGGGTAGACACTGTGACTACACAGTCCACAAGGCTCGGGCACAGAGTAGCCCTTCTCTACGAAAGCATCAAAGAGGAAAAACAGTGGAAGATTCAAGGTTCGACCGTTCAGTTTGAACGCATGTAGCACGAATGCTTGCTACGCTGCTCCTACCCTAGTTCGAACTCCCACACACACACAATGCAACGTGCCACATGCTTGTGCACGTGCTAGCTTAGCGCGACAGGGTTCACATTCCAGTATCGTTTTATCCCGGGTATGCGAATACAAACACTCCGGGTCCATGACACTGACCTCAACATGTGCACCCCTCGCGGCAGTAAAGAAGGTGAATCCATCGGCATCATTGCCCGTAAAACCCCAGTCGGCGCCCCACGGTTTCGTCGTCTTCGTCCAGGAGCCCCAATGGTATGAGGGGATGGTGTAGAAGGCATCCTTACCCTTCTCTGTGACGATGTCGGCGTCGAGCCCAAAAAGATCCGCAAGGTTATCCTACTTAAGAAAGACATTCCAGCATCGAGTTGGGGGGGGGTGGTTGCCCCAAGTGAGACGAGATGGAACACGGGAACATGGGGGTTGTGTGTTAAAGCACGGATTGCGTCAAAGAATTCCGCTCCGCCTGAGAAATGGCACGTGCACACCCCTCCCGACGAGTTTTAAACGACACAAGCCTGGTCTTATTTCATCGACGAATCGGGTAAACCGCGTCTGTTCTCGTATACCAACGGGGCCTACAGATATACAGATACGAAAAAAAAAAAAAACTTACGGCCGTACTGCTCAATGTGTGACGTGTGCACTTGCAACGAGAAATAATCGTACCTTCTGAGCCAAAGCTTTCAGATGCTGGGCGACCTGCTGGGACGTACTATCCAACGTCACAACATTTCTGTAACGAGACGTTGCTAGCCACTCCCGGACCCAACGCAGCACATCGGCTCCGGTTCCAATCTTGTGTCCGTGACCCCGGTCGTGCAGTGTGAGGAAAAGACACAGAGGCAGCTTCGAGCCAAAATGCTTACCCCTCCATTTCCAACCCAACTACACGAAGTGTTCCTCCGCGATGGACGCAGGGGTTGCTGCGCTGTCGGAGCCCTCCACCTTGTGCGTCATGTGATCCGTAAATTGAGGGGAGGGTGGGGGGTTAGAGTAAAGCAGACCGCCGCCGGTGTCTGGGATAACCGTGACCGCGACCATTCAAACAACAGCAACAACAGCCGACCCAAAGGCCGTATAGACGCGGGATCGTATAGACGCCTGACTAATCCGGCGACACGAGAGAGTTCACTCACACGTTGCCGCCGAGCACCTCTGCTTTCCTCCCAAGCCTGCGTGCTCAGCGATGGCGTGGTGTGCCGACGTTGACTTCCCTCGCGTGCGGGCCTGTCTGGCGTGTGCTGAGATCCCTGCATCGGAAGTACTGACCCTGGATTTCGACGGTAAGGTAGCAAAGTGTTTAGAATTGCGCATGTGTGGATGGCCGCGTAGTGTATCGCGAGCGGGCGTTGGCTGTTCAAAATGCTGCATGTCTACATATATATGGTGTAGCTCGATATATCCATATGATGCTACCCAATAAACTAACGGACATCGCCGCTCCATCGAACAAGAAGCAAGAGTGGCGGACACATGACTTCCGTGTAGCACATAAGGACTCTTAATCGTTGTCGTCTGTACGAACACCGGCAAGTCAATCGTGGAATAGCACCCACAACTAGAGCGCCAACAAGGTATCGCAGGAGTGGTTTTGGATTGAAGGTTAGGGTATCAACCCAGAAACAACCGTGACAACAACAACAAGAACAGCGCCGCCACAAGTGGCAGGGGGTACGAATCGTTTATCCCGCAATAATGTCAGTCGCGGGGCATCCCCAAAGTCACAATAACAAAAGAGGAACATCAAAGGGCGGTCGATCAGGCTTGGTGTTTCAGAAGTTAGTTTGTTTTTCCGAAGGGAGGGCAAAGTCAGAAACGAAGGGGTGCGATGCCAACTGTGGCGTGGAAGTTGTACTACCCTAAGTTCACAGAGAAAATCCCGAAAGCCTTACTTTAACTTGGAACGGAAGACCAGCGGGAGGCCATAGCCTCTGTGACTTTGGACTTACCGCACCAGCAAATACAAGAATCGTCCCCCACTGCATGTTGAATGGACAACGGTCTCAATGTATTTGGACAAGCTACACAATAGGGCTTGTCCGTCGGGGGACTGACTGGTCTTACATCCCGGGGTATGAACTGTTCACAAAAAGAGAAGACGAAGTACCCCACTGAATGACCTAAATGCGTTCTGACTTTGGTGACACTACGCAATACCAGTTCCACAGAAATACCAGAGGCAGAAAGTGCATGGTGATGCAGACCTTTGTCTTCGACAAAACATGCGCATATTTTTCACTCCTCACCTTCTGTATAGTCTAGTGTTACCAGACGTATACCAAAGAGAGAGTTGATTGCTCAAACAAAGGGGGAAATGCACTTCTTCCGTCGAACAATTTATTACTAAAAAAACACTATGCATTATCAGCGGGCAGTTTGTAGAAAATAAGTGGCGACGGATTCCCGCAGCACTACAAGAGTGGTGACGCATGCACCGCAAAAGCCACCCGTCATCGCCGCTCGTCATTTCCCACATCCAAACAATGTTATAAATCTGTCCACGAACAGAGAAGCAGAGTGTATTGAACTCGCGCTAACCCTTAACGATGTTCTGCGCACCACCTAATTGTGCTGGTTGGGGGGTTTTACTTGTCCCTCCGCGCCGCTTACCCCGACGTGCCACACGAAGGATTACACTGCGTCAACAGCAGCAGAGATATTTTTATCGGAGGAACAGCAGTATATTTCAGGGTCCCTGGTACACCCTCGGCCACGTTGTTCAGTTGTGGGTGCGGAGTTTGGACATTGCTCTGTGTACACTACACCATTTGACAAACGGATTTCTATCCGAGATAGCCAGCGTTACACACTGATAGCTGTAGGCCTCGGGGCCTACCTGCCCCTACGCTGAGAGACGAGCGTGAGGGCGACACGGAGGGCATGCTCGACGATTAGACCCAAACACCCCAGATCTCCGATGGTCATGTTTCAGTTTTTCTCGACTGACCGTTGATGATCGGGCCTCCTTCCTTCACCACAAGCCCCGCCTGTGATGCTGCTAGAGCGCACGCCGAGTGCGAGTCCAGTAGACGCTCGGGCAATCGGATGGGTGTACGATGAAGGGCTTGTGGAGAGGGCCCTGTCCTGATCCATCCCCGCATGTGCCATGCACGCCTACGTAGAATGAGACCCGCCAGCTTCCTCCAATTCGTACACAGGTGGCCAACGTGCACATTATATGCACCATTGTACAATGCCGAAAAAAATCACTCTATTTGCAGTTAATACAACGTCCCAGGTTGCTGACCCCGGTGGCATAACCTGGTCAGGTTTCTTACCCCGGTGGCATAACCTGGCCAGGTCAGGTAAGCACACACAGCATACACAGGTGGCCAAAGTACCGCCTTGTAGAGGCACATTGGGCAATCTCGAAAAAAAAACATTGGGCACCGATCGCAACCTGCTGATCTTGGGTAATTCTTGCAATGATGAGGTGGCCAGGTTTGGCAACCTGGACTTTTCTTGGAGGTTGGGGCGTAGTCTACAAGGCGGTTGGTGGGTAGGTTGGGGATGATGCGCAAGGTGTGCCTTTTTTCGAGGTTGGCGGACTGTCTACAACCTGGTACGCTGCCAGGTTGCCGAAGTTGGTGCAAGGTGAACCTTTTTGTGGAGGTTGGGCACTGTCTGCAACCTGGTACGCGGACATGTTGCCGTTGCTGGTGCAAGGTGAACCTTTTTGTGGAGGTTGGCGGACTGTCTACAAGCCGGTTGGTGGGTAGGTTGGGGATGGTACGCAAGGTGTGCCTTTTTTGGAGGTTGGCGGACTGTCTACAACATCGTACGCGGACAGGTTGCCGATGCTGGTGCAAGGTGTGCCTTTTTTCGAGGTTGGCGGACTGTCTACAACCTGGTACGCTGCCAGGTTGCCGAAGTTGGTGCAAGGTGAACCTTTTTGTGGAGGTTGGGGCAATGTCTGCAACCTGGTACGCGGACATGTTGCCGTTGCTGGTGCAAGGTGAACCTTTTTGTGGAGGTTGGGGCACTGTCTGCAACCTGGTACGCGGACATGTTGCCGTTGCTGGTGCAAGATGTGCCTTGTGTGGAGGTTGGCGCACTGCAGTGTACAAGCCGGTTGCCTAGGATTTCGGAGGCAACAGCAGCATTGCTGCTCAGCAACAATAACGTTGGTTCAATACCCCCCTCATGACCTTTTTTTTCCCCTCCCTTTTTTTTCCAGAATTATTTCGATGCGGGTATCGAAACAGATCATTGCTGCTCCGTAACAACGTGGGTTCAATATCCCTTCATGGCCTTTTCTGCTTTCCTCCCTTTTTTTCCAGTCTTTTTTCGATGCGGGTATCGAAACAGTACTACCGCGGCTCATCCATCATCTCGAGCCCGTTGTCGACAACTCTCGACTTGCACGAACAAAAAGCGAGGAGCAAGAATTCATAAAACCCAACACATACCCAAGCATGGTTTCCTTTTTAGAACTTCAACCAGCGACGTCGATCATGGAGAAGATCCGTAATGCACTCGTAGAAAAACGACTGCCTTCTCTCAGCACTAAACAAAGCACCCCCCCCCCCCGCCGCCCCGAAAGCCCCAGCAGTATCCATAATATGGTTCCCGTCCTTGTTGAACTTCCCCCCTGCACCACCCACCGCCGTCGATCATGGAGATAATCCGCAGGAAAGCATTACCATTGATTTAGGAAGACGGATAAACGACGACGAAGCCGGAGACAACAGCTACACGTAGCGACAGCGGGCCGCCCCCGAAGTCACAGTTCTATACACGGAAAAACGTCGCTTCCCGAGGACAAAATAAAGTCAAACTGCAGGGACTGCAAAGAGAGACGTCTCTACCCTCCCAACACCACAGGAAAACACCTTCAAGATGGCCTTCCACGCGGGGACAAGAGAGAAGCATGACGGCAACGACTGGAGAGGCCGCCGCAGTGACAAATTCCAAACGCGCTTGCACTCACGGCAAAAAACCCTACCCGAGAGCACTAAGCACTTCGCAGCATTCTTCATCCAAACGCAAACATCAGCCATTGAAAGCGGGGGATAATCTATTCCGCCTCCCCCTGCAACACTGCGGCCCGCCGTGGAAGAGAGGACCCGGGAAAACGCGTCGAACGACGTTGAAGTGGAGATTCCGGCGACTGTTCCTGGGCGGTATCGGTCAGCAGTGAAAGAACATGCGAAGAAAACATCAGAGTAGAGTAAACATGGGCAGTCGAGCAATGGAGTGCACGCTTCCACCCTTGGGTGCACTATGTAAATATAAACTTAAAAAACTGACTCTGTTGTACTCCAGACAACTGTACCTGGTGCCACTTTTGGAATGCCGGGAGGCATAGCGGGACAAAAAAACACTACTTAACGGGGTGAAGCACAGGTGACGCAGGTCGTAGAATACGTCAGAGACAAGAGGGTATGCTACGCAACTCAGCAGAACTAAATCTAATGGGAGGCGAGGTGTATTCAAATATCAGCAGTCTAGCGGCGAACCGACTCGCTGATGAAACACATGTCGAGGGGAGCCGCGGGTTCTGGACGAAACATGCGACGAAAAGCACCCAGACATTATACATCTCGCGGGCAGGGGAAGAAAGAAGAAAAAATAGGGAGGCACGAAAGTTCTAGAAGGACAAGCCACGCACCAGGCCAAACGCCCACCTTGTCAACGCGGCTTAAGCGTCCATAGAGCCATCGGAGCCATCGTCGCTGCCCCCATCTCCATCCCCATCTCCATCACGGCCCGTTCGTCCGCCCCCATCCCCATCCTCATCCCCATCCCCATCCTCATCCCCATCCCCATCTCCATCACGGTCCGTACCTCCGCCCCCATCTCCATCCCCATCTCCATCACTGTCCGTCCCTCCGCCCCCATCTCCATCCCCATCTCCATCACGGTCCGTCCCTCCGTCCCCATCTCCACCACGGTCCGCCCCTCCCTCTTCTTGCTCGTCGTCGTCCTTGTCGTCGTCCTTGCCGTCGTCCTTCTTGAAGAGGTAGGGCTTGAGGTAGCGCTTCGCGTCCTCCGTGCACTTCAAGTCGTCCTTGTCGGGGATCGGCCCAAGGTACTCTTCGCCGAATTCCATGAACCTCTCCCAAAACCTAAGACACGATACAAACAACAAAGAACGTTTCGTTCGCATGGCAGCTGGTGGAACGGCTAAACATGCCGCGGTACATTCCTCTCTTGTAAGGCTTGCGCTAACCACCTTCGGGTGGAGTCGAAGGTAGGGCACAGTGGAGCTGCCGCAATATATAACGCTAACCGGGAAAATCGCCGGGAACAAAAAACAACGAAGTGCGTTGTATGATGGCAGAGTTGCATGTGTATTGGGCGCTATGTGGGCGACAAACCTACTCAGCGAACGCCACGGACAACAGGGCTGGACTACAAGAATACGTCAGCCTTGTTAACATAGCGAGCCAAGCGCAACGTACGTCTCGCGGATGACCGGGTGGTTCTTGTCTCCGCCGCCCTCCTTTGCTCCTCCCATGGCGTTGTCCAAGAACTTCTTGATCACCGGGAAGGTGCGGTAGCCCACGGGGTCCCACTTGTTCGAGGGGGGCATACGAGCGCGCCTCCTCGCTGCGATTACATCGCTCAGGAGGACCGGCGCCGCCTCCTCGATAGTCACGGCAAGGACCGGCCCGATTATCTGCGAAACAATCAGTTCAGTTCACGCCATGAGGGGGTGGGAGTCGTTGCTGAGCTAGAAAGGCGCAAAAATTAGGGATACACCTGGAAAGGGTGACAGAGCGAAGGAGGACTACCATAGCTTTCAAATGTCCCGTAGCACGGGGAACGACCAATATCTTATCGTCCCGACGTCTGAGAAGAAGGCTCGCAGGGCGAGCAACCCAGGGTTACCGGTGAAAGGCTGTTCGTCGGGAACTTGCGTTATGAAAAGTCGGGTTACCCGCCCGTGCTACTCTGCGTGATAGCTACAAGGCGGCCGTGTGTGCGCGCGACATTTTCATACCAACAGCAGGAGCAGCAGCGTGTGCGCCAACAACGCTTTACACCGGACTACAACCAAACACTCCGGTTCTGCATACTTCTTACTCTTCCTTTGCCTCTAAGCGTGCGGTCGACTCGCCACTCCTTACGCGGACTGTTTGGAGCCTTCATCATCAAAACGAGAGAGGGCCTCAGACTGTTTGATCGACCATTTACGCACGATCCTCACAGCAGGCACAGGAGCAGACCCCTTCTGTTCTCCGCGGAAAGATGATCTTACAAGCGCCACCCTATGTTTCCAGACTACAGGGCGCCGCGGTTCCGGGAAATATCAAGTTTTTAACGCCAGGGGTGACTTTTCCCTGGTGTCTGCAAAGGGGAGACGACGGTACCTGGTGATAGGGTGCGGTGGGTTGGCACCCGTATACGTCCATGTAGGTCATGGTCTCCATGATCTCGCCCGGACCCGCGGGCCTGCTGTGCCTGGCTGGAGGTAGACCCTTGGAGAACATAGCCCGCCCTAAACCGCGCATGGCCAGCTCCGACTAGAATGACGCAGGGGGTGGGGGGGCGGGGGCGCAGGGAATACCAACTGGGTGAGAGGCAACACTCGTGAGAAGTCATGATAGGTGTTTATTGTGACAAAAGTTGAAATTCACGCTACAATTGTACAGTTTTCCCGCAGTTAGGGTACAAATTACGGTCAAGAAGGACAGCGCAAGGGGGTCTCCCGAACAAAGACGATGAACAAGCGAGCAATGCGGGGTGCATCGGCCGGTCGTTGGGTTAAGCGTTTTGGCCGATATCGTGCGCGTAGACGCCGCACTTTTACAGTCTGGGGCCTCGTGGTTCGCGTCATGTTCGTTTTGTGAGACCGAGCCAGACCAATTCATCGACACACCCAGCAACGACGACACGCCACTCACTACCTTCACTACACCAGACGCACTCATGCAAAAAGCACACCCGCATGTAGTACGCTGGACGCGTCGACTCTGAAACACACGCCGAAGAAAATAATACTCATGACACATAAGATAGAAAGCAAACCCTGGGGGCATTACAATAAAAAACGCATATCCCAGACAAAAATACAGAGAGGCGGAGGGGTGTGTATTCGATGAGACAAACTCCACCGGGGCTACGACATAATCTTCACAGCTCTTCGGCGAGTTGGGGGGAGAGGGGGGGGGGGGGGGGCGTACTCTTTACGTTTTGCATGCCTTTAGTCGTTAGGGCACTGGCCACGCGTCGTCGAGAGGACGGAAAATACGATTACAGATGGCCAATCGTTCCTTCCTACATTGCCAAAGGTGGCTCAAACATGCCCCCCGTTCTATCTATCCTGTCGATATCACCCCCCGCCTATTCTACCCACTTGCTATGCCCCAGTACAGCTACCGTCCTGTCTCGGTTATTCCATACCTCGAACATCTTCCTGTACCTTCCTTTCATTTTCCCAGGCCAGTCATGTACACTTCTCTCTCCTTGTACGACGGACATTCCCCAACCATTTAACTAGGTCTTTGCACTCCGAGCCGCAATATCATTTGGGGGTGGCGTGGGGGTAAGGCAGGGGGTACAAAACGTGAACAGGGGCACGACACCGACAGCTACGGCACCACGCAGACACGCAACCGCCCAACAACACAGCAAGCAACGCCACGCGCAAGAACCCGGGGCGAGGAGCCAGATCCCAGATCCCAAATTGCGTTTGCGATTTCTCGCGTTTCTCGCGCCAGACACCCAACGAAAACCTGCATGGCTTAAAACGGCCGGACTGCATCCGTGCACCTCACCTGCTTATCGATCTCAGCCTGCATCGTCTCTAGGATGTAGTCTGACGTGATTTCCTTCCGCGCGTTGCCGTTACCGTCCGTGTACCTGTTGGTGACCACCTGGAGAGCGGACACCAGGTTGGTGTGCATTGCCTCGCGCGCTACACGGTACGTGGTGCACTTCATCGGCGGCAGGAAAACGGGGACTTCCTCTGTATTCAACGTGTCCAAACACCATATAGGAGGGGGTGGGTGGGAGGACAAGGGGGATGAGCGGTGTTGATGCGCGTAATTCAAAATCTCGAGAGTGAGGGGGAACAACTCCAGGAGGCGGCGACACACATGCGCGAGATTCACAAGGGGCCGGAATCACGGCCGAGAATGCAATAACTCACTGTCCATTTCTGCACATGAAATTCCTCGCTCTTCGTCATATGCACCCCACATGTGCCCCACCATCGTCAGCAGGCTGTGTTCGTCGCACTTGATTTCCGTCAGGCGTAGATCCTTAAAGTACGCCATAAATGGCAGGATAAGGTGGAAAGCGGAGCTTTTGTACGACACCTTCCGGGACTCCCGCTCGGTCTTTCCCTTGTCGATGTCCGCTCTGCTAGCGAGCTGAGCCAAACGAAAGCGGCGGGGCGTTAGCGGGCATTGACTAGATAATTACTGGTGTGTGCCATCTGCCATCTTCCACAAGTTTCAACTGCTAGTGGCCTTTTTCTCCGTCGAAGGCGTGTTCTTGATGACAGCATACTTAGGACCAAGCAAACTACGACTTGATGCAAGTAAAGGAACAACCGAGTGATAGGTCTCCCCCCCCCCCCCCCCCCCCCGGGTACGTGTGGTGGATCAAGCAAACTAGATACGTGTGAGATGTACATCAATTGTTGACGTGTTGATTCGGATTCAGATAGTTCTGTCTGCTCGTCGTATATTTGCCATCATCAATCAAAGACAGACGAGAAGTCCGATCTTCGCCGGTAAGTTGTTGTCCGCTCGAGCTGCCTGCAACGCCGAATAACTACTGCTGTACGCGCGCGATGTTGTGAGGAACACGGGCTTTGTGATACAGTGCACTTCGCAAAAAAGACCCACAGGCCCTCTTCGGGCAATGCGCATGTGGTCTTGGGTCACCCGTCGGAGGCTTGACACCCACGTCCCGACGGGAAACCTTGTATATGAAGACAACGGAGCACAGGGACCCACCCACTCCCAACCCCCTCGGACAAGATTGACTGCTGGAATAGGCACGTTGTGGGGCTCACTTGCAGCCGTCTACGGTACGTACAAAGGATAGTGCGTCCTTACAGTAAAACCATTATGCTCTTGTTCCACCCCGTGGTGACCAACATGTCACAGGTGGTGGCCCTTTCCTCCGTCCAGTTTTATTTTCTGACGACAAGTCCTTTTCGTTGTCTACACTGGTATAGCCCATGTTGCGACCGGGCGGGTCTGCGCCTACGGCCGCCCTCGTCGATGAAAATAATATGCAGCTCAGGGCAGAAGTGCAAGAGTGTCCACTCGTGAGAGTTGGCGCGGGAGGGGGTAATCTCTCACCATAAAGCCCGACTCTGAAGCCAGGCGCAGCATGACCGCCCCGCGTAGGTCCGAGCACCATTCTTTCTCGTCGATGGCCCGGAGCATGGCATCAGCGGCCTCGGGAATTGACTTGGCATATGCGTTCCTCGTCGTCTCCTTCGACAGGCATGTGGATGGACATATATCCCGCGGCGAGTGGGTGGAGGGATGGATGATAAATGTGTGGCCTATGTGTCACGCAACAGCCGGTAGAGTATAGGTGGTCTACGTGGACAAAATACAAGTAGTCGTGGTGAAGTGGGATTGGGGTTGTCACATGAATTACACAGCAGTTACCCTCTGTGCCAACCAATGCCAACAAACAAGACAATGTGGACGCGGAGGCGCCAGATACTACTGGTTGGGAAACGAGGAGGGGGAACATGGCAGGGAACAGGGAACGCATAGAGCATGCTCGTTGCCGTGCGTAGGGGGATCGGTGGTGTGCTGTCTGGACAACACACCAGCACGAGAGATGTCAGGCATCGAGGCTTGTCGAGGGCCATGAAACTTTCAGCAAGTAGGTGTGTGGCCCCCAGCAGATGCGCAGAAAAACACAGCAATACTGCACTTGAAGCAACACTACAGCAGCAGCCCGCGGCCATGCGGGACACGTCGTCCAACGCTCGGGTTCTCACCTCGACTACATCTCTGCCCCCCTGACGGGGGTCGACATTCTCGTCGTCGTCGTCGTCGTCGTCGTCGTCGTCGTCGTCGTCGTCGACCTCCCGGCGGCGGTTCCTCTGCTTCTTCTTGCCGGATGACTTGCCGGAGGAAGAACCGGAGGTGTGGCGAGCACTCTGACCGGAACGTTTCGAGCTGCTGCGCGATGCACCGCTCGAGGACAACCCTCCGTGGCTTTTGCGGGCGGAGAAGTTGGACGACCTCGACCCTAGACGGTTGTTCCCGTTGTTGGACATGATGGTGGAAAGTTGAGGAGAGGGTAATGGAAGGGACGGGAGGGGATGGTTGTGGCGCGCTGGTGCTTGGCGCCACAGGCGGATAACGCCCGCATAAGGCGTTCACCAGGGAACCCAGCCTATGCATCCCCTCTCGTTCCCGGTTCCCTCCACGCGTCGCCTCTGGTGACAAAGATCTTCGGCATGCTCGTGCGGAGCCCGCTCTCGAGGGAGACGCTACATGATGCAGGAAACAGCAGCTGTAGGGGGTGAAAGAAGAAAACTCGCCCGCCTCCCCCCCCCCCC